AAATTGTGAAAATTCTTGGCAGCGCCCAGAGTTGAAACTTGCCGCCGCCGCCACCACTACCTGGCCCCATCCTGTAGTCTTCACCCTCGAATCTGTCTCTCTCTCTCTTTTTGCTACTTATTCCTTTCCCATTTTCTTTTTATTTCATCTTCTTCCCATCCTCATCACTTAGCTTCATTCCTTCTATCCTTCTTTCCCCATCTCTCTCCTTCCTTCCTTCCTAAAGCTCCTTCCTCTCCCCCTCCCTGCCCCACTACACAACCTCACACACCACAAAGCCCCGACCCGGCTCCTCTCCTACAACTAATGGTATGTCTGGGTAGGTCACTGTGGCAGGAGGAAGGGCACAGTACCACAACACCAAAGACAGATACTAAATGGAAGAACTAATGGATAAGATTCAAATAGATACTGAATGGATGAACTAATTACAAAGAGCTAATGGGAATACAGTACAGTACCCTAATGTAATATACAGAAAGACCGCATACAATCTGATGTGGCTAAGGACTCATATACACACAATACTATATGCTAGATCCCTGACTCCCTAAAACAACCTTGAGAAATTTCCAAATGTTGTCCTCTATGACCAGAAAGAATAGGTCACGATCACCTATTACATGACTACTTGTGCAGTACAGTATTTCAAAGATGGTGGCTTATTCGTAATATTTCATACAAGTACAACAACTGATGGAAAACAACAGTGTAATGGTATACAAATGATCTCACAATGACCCAACGCCCCAACCAAACAAATTCCTACACCTTTTCTTCACGTTAAGACTATGCCAATATGGTTTCTCATATATAAGTAATCATCACATTTCTCCTACGTTCCTTTACTATCAATAATCAGACACACACAAGCACAATAACTTTCTATGGGGACGCCACTTTTTATATTGTATTTGGCCGACAACTAGACGACTTTATCCAAGAGAGAGAGAGAGAGAGAGAGAGAGAACCCTGTACACAAGTGGTTAAGAAACTTTTATTCAGAATACTAGTACAAGTAAACATTGCTTTGTGTCTTCTATCTTTTGAGGGATCAGGAGAGGTACACGACACAAGGATGTACCCTAACAATGTGACCCATACCCAGTCTAAGTTCCCTTTGTATGCCACACACACGACTTATAAATCAACCCAATACATTACTCAGCTCCACACACACACAAAGGCTGAGGTAGGATAGGTGGTCTAGATATATGTAAGCCAGTTCGGTTTTTTGTGACAGGCTGATGGGATATGATTATAATAGCAACTCTCTGGATTTGGACCTGGGACTATTGAACCGATGGCCTGTCCAGTACAATAACCACTCCACCACTGTACCAATAAACCACTATTGATAGTATGATAAAGTTGGTGTTTTTTAACTTGAAGTCATTTACATCCACTACCATCTGATATTTTAACAAAGGAAATCTGGATAACCTCCAAGAGTATTACTTGTCAACAACTTGGAATTCCTTGCTCAGCCAACCACTTGTGCCAACCAGGTAAGCAAGACCAACCCTCCTAGGAATGTAACAATGACTTCCTCAACCCAGCTAAACAAAGAGGTCCACCAGCACTGCCTCTATCACCACTTTAACACTCAACAGTCACCAGGCACGAACACATTACACAGATCCACCGAACCTCTAACGTAAACAACACATTCTCGTGGTCTGTGTGTGTAGGTTTATTTTTTTCAGGTCCTGTAAATGTCCTTAAAAAAAAAAAAAATCTTAAAAGCTTTTACAACATTTCATTACCATCACCAGATCTAAACTTCACTGAACTTTAGTGTCAATCATGATCAGTATACAAGAACTTCCCTGTCAATTTCTTACCGCCGACCTTAAAAGTACCGTAACTATTATAACTCGTCACGGCTTTAAAATGGAAGGTGGAAGTGAAAGTTGGTCCCATAAACATAATGGTTTGTCAGGTACAGTATGGATATAGCACAGAGTAAAACAGGCCAACACTTCATTGAACTTCTTACACTTCTGGACCCATTTACAGCAGGGCAGACTCAGGTTAAATCAGTCACCTGGTGGTCCCTGTGTCAACATTGTGACTCACGGTTTGGCTCTATGATATGAATTGTGACTCACGGCTTGGCTCTATGACATGAGTATACCATGAACGATGCATTCCACAGAATATATTTAATTTCATATGATGACCAATTGTAAGACATTATTATCATTATTATTATTATTATTATTATTATTATTATAATATATATATATATTTTTTTTTACGAGGATTAGCACCACCCGGGCACAGGTCATTGACCCACACCAGGGCCTGGGGGACAAAAACGTAATAGTAATAACAGTAACAATTAGTTCATAGTAAATAAAATCTATAATAAAAAATACAAAAATAAAAATTAAATAATAATAATAATAATAATAATAATAATAATAATAATAATAATAATAATAATAATAATAATAATAAAGAACCATATAGAAATGCAAAAATGAAAAAAAGATCAAGAGTGAGAAATGCTATACCTGTATGTATGTTGTGTTGGCAAAGTAAGAGAAACAATTGAGACCCTGCAATTGTGTGTAAATGAGGCAGAAAGTCAGATCATCAACCTGGGACTTGGTCACATATGGCAGCAGGGTCTACCATTAGACAACACATTATGCTTCCAATATCTTCCCAGGCGGTAGTACCTCCCTGTCATTTACATCATATAGTACAGTAACAGGATCAGCTTAGGACCTTGCTACATTCCATAAAGCTGTATGGGTTAAGGGGCACTAAGATACTGCTGATCAACATGTGTAAAGGTGACTGGGCTCAACTAGGGACCAAAGCGTGGAGCTGTGTTCCATAGATCTCTTAGTCCCACTACACCACCCCCCGACTCCTTGTTGCACCTTAGTACACACGAAGTCGTCATGGAGGAAGTACCATGTGTTTGTCTCCCTCTCCTAGTGACCCCGTACCACCCACTTCACGGCGAAACCATACTCGACCAATGGTTTTCATTCTTACAATTACTATTAGCCTGCATACTTATCTTTATTTTGTTAGGTGAAAATACAGTTTTTAAGAACTCTCAACTCTCATGAAAATTATGCATATAGAGCACAACAAATTTTCCACACACCACAGCCAAAAGTTCAAGAACAATAAATAACAGTTACTATTTCTTACACCTTCTATTCTGGTAAACCCAGGTGCAGCCCGCAGGTATCTCACCTCTGTTCCTTGAATTTCAGATAATTCTGCACTATCCCAAGTTTACATTTTACAGCCATAAGTTAAGGTAGGAACTATTATATTACCTCGGAGTTTCTTTTCTACCTTCAAGTTTATGATCCTCCCCATGATGGTACTGCTCAGCTCTCCAATAACCCTCCACCTACTTGTGTTCTCTCTAATTTCACTCCCTACTGTACCATTCTTACTTAGCATCTCTCCCTAATACTGCTATTTTCATCTGCCTCCAGTATCTTATTCTTCTTCATAATTTTACAGTTTAAATCTCTTAGGTTTTATCTATTCTACCTCACCTTCCCATAACAGTACAGTACACTAAAAACCATTACTTTACCCTTCCTATCACAGACCTTATCCAAGTTATTCACCACCTTCTACAGATCCTCATCACTACACACAAAGAGCACTGCATCGTCCACCTTGAAACATGTTACCAGTGGCCAGTACAACCTTCCAGCTGTTCCTGCCCTTCACTTCCCCTCCAACCACAGGGACATAACGTATCTCTACCACAGGGACATAACGTATCTCTACCACAGGGACATAACGTATCTCTACCACAGGGACATAACGTATCTCTACCACAGGGACATAACGTATCTCTACCACAGGGACATAACGTATCTCTACCACAGGGACATAACATATCTCTACCACAGGGACATAACATATCTCTCCCTCACACCTACTTTAATCTCAAGAGCTGTCATTTAGTCCTCCATTTACTATCACACTTGTCTTGCTGCTCTTACAAAATACTTTCACTTCATCAAGCAGCCTTCCTCTTACACCATAAATCTTCATTACATTCCACAATGCCTCTAGATTCACCCCATCATATGCTTCTCTGGATCCATAAATGTTGCATATTTTTATTTTATTTTAAGAGAAAATCTTTGGTCTATAAATCACCTATCTCCTCTAAATCCTCCCTCTTCTTTATCTATTCTACATTCTCTTATCCTTTACCCCCTCAATTACTGTTCTGCCTTGTACAGTTGCCAGCACTTATACCTGGTACAGCAGTTGGTGGATTTTATGAAATGTGGCAACTCTGTGGAATACTTATCTAACATCCTTAGTCTGGCTACTACTGCAATGCTCTTTAGGGCCATTCCAGGAGTTTTAATACCATGTAAACAAACACAGAGTTGCCACATCTCACAAAATCCACCAGCCACTGTGCCAGGTAGAAGTGCAAGTGACTGTACTTTTCCAGGTATATTCAATAAATGATTTCTCTTTAGTTTTTAAATCCTTCTTTACTAACTCTCTTCCTATACAGTACTGTACTACAAGAGTATTACTGCACATTACTGTACTGCATAGCCTTCAACCATTCCCCTGGTACAATACTCCCCATTTTCTGTACCATATGACATACTCTTGCTCAGATGCTTATAATGTTCTTTCCCATGATCCAACATCTGTCCTAATAACAGCCATTCCTTGAGTGGACGATCAAATTCTAATAAATTATCTATAAATGTTTCAAGAGAATTTTCCTTGTATGGCATAAACAGAGATAAAAAAAACAACAACAATAAAAACAGGACACACTGTAGACAATTTGCTGATGTTGCCTGTGGTTGTTGCACATACTGTAATACACCAAGAAAATAATATATTGTGACAGCGTCCATTTGTGTCTGCCAAATAACATTTCCGCAACAAATTTCTTGCATCCACACAAGAATTTCTTAACAAATCCAGAGAAAAAAAAGTTGAACTTCACAATCAGAAAATTGTATTGTACTCACCATGATGACCACCCTCTCTGTAGGACGTGGGCTGTGGGGTCACTTCTGCAGAACGTCTTCGCAAGTGAGCATTTGGATCAGACGGGGTGAGATGCTGACGCATTGGGACAGCCGAAGGACTAATGCCTTCTATTGAGCCTATAGGTGCAGGTACATTGACACTTGGCTGGAGTGAAATTGTTGGGGCTCGAGGAGGAGCAAATATTATATCTGAGCGAGGTGGGGGTTCTGCGTTGGGTATGGTAATAGCCAGAGGAAGCATGTGCTTCTCCAGGTCATCGCTGGGCGCCGTGCTCCAGGGAGATCCCATTTCTCCGGTCACCACTACAGTGCTAGACACATTTGGGCTTATGGCAGGTGCTGGAGGACCCTGAGGGGGAGAGCAGCCGTCACCCGTGTCCCTGACAGGATATGTTCCCTCACTCCCTGAACTGCCCCATGTTGAGGCATCCTGCAAAGATAATTAAGTTCACTTAATTCCATGTTATAAATTTATTTACAGAAATTAGCTAAACCAAAGGTTTTCCCTCACTTTAAGCATATAATGACTGTAAACATTATTATAGTAAAATATTAAACCACATTTAATTTAGTCACGGCACCACCGGCTGTCTACTGTATTTAATATCATACAAAGATTCTTGTTTGCTAATCCATCTAGCTTGATATATGATGAAATTAATCTATTAATTAATTCTATTACATACTGTATATAACAACAGCAGTCACAGTTATATGTAACACAGCGGCACCAAGTCCTATATGTAACACAGCGGCACTAAGTCCTATACGTAAAACAGCGGCACCAAGTCCTATATGTAACACAGCGGCACTAAGTCCTATACGTAACAAGCGGCACTATTCCTTCATTGTAAAAGTCTTAGCCACTCACACCTTCATACTCTCAGCCACTTCAAGGTTGGATATGAAATACACTACTATACAATAATGTTCAACACCTCATACATAATGGAAGTTTAAACCCAGACTGACCTCATTATGGAGCGTTGACAGACCAATATTGTTAGTCTGAATTTTCCCATGACCACAAGGGTCGCTGGTGATGTCATTCGTACTGCAGGTGAACTCACTCACGTCCCGGCTGGTGTGACCCGCACTAGAGCCAATACACGGAGATCGATACGAATCTGTGAACGAGAGGATCCACGAGATATTATCAAAACGAAAATGGCAACATATTCGTAATAAAATGCAATTTCCATAACAACAACTTATCTGGGTTTTTCTAACTCTAAAACGTTGTACCATAGCATGCTGGTGCTAGACTGAGAGCAAATGCACAAACACCCCATTGTCATTCAGTCAGTCTTACAACTGTAATAGATGTAAACTGCTATGGTACAGTATGCCTCCTTACACAACTCTGGTTTACCCTGTCATATCACACAAGCCACCACCACCTGTCATCAGTACAGTATGTTCTTACACCAAAATGTATAAAATAATGCAAGTTTCCAGGTTGCTTCCCACAAGCAAAACATTGTTTAAAATATCTAGCATCACGTCTTCAAACTGTGGTAATTTGCCAAGCTCAAGGTTACAGCACGAACAATTTGTAGTGATGTAATATAACTTAACTGTAATACTTGGTACATTCCCCACAGTTTACTGTACATGTTGAGACAAGACCAAGAGATGGTCTGTCCAAGTTGAGGAACAAGGAGGTCAAGGCTCACCTACTGTATATCTTTAAGTTAACAGGACAAACTACAGCAACTGTTGAGTGATTAGTATACCCCCTGCATACAGGTGCAATACTTATATGTTTAAAGATTTACTTGGGTCAATTTTACATATTTTCTGTGGTCAGTTACATAAAATTTTTATTTCAGAAACTGAAACCATTCCATAAGCCAGGTGAATGAGTAATGTTGGCCACAGGCTGGTTCAAGATGAAAACTCCCAACCCCCCATCTTTCAAAAGGAAATTGTATATGGAGTAAACCATTCGGCAGCCAAGTGGGAAATTTTTTTAACTCCTATCCTAATGATCACAGGTTCATGCCAGGGACATCCACAGTTCACCAAGCAGTGAATGGGCACCTAACTTTACAGTTAGGATGTGAAGGAGGGCCACACTTGTGTACCAAAGGTTGAAGATATAGTGTGCTGTACCTGCACTACCCCTATAGGACCCACTTTCACTGGGATTAATCAGGAAATGAAGTTTAAAGTGACAACTTGTAGTGTCTGTGTGAGACACGTGTAAAGTCTTACCCGTCATGGAATCATCTGATGGGGGATTATTTATAGGTTCGTCGGCACCCTTCAGGAAGCGTACGATGAAAGATATCTTCTCCACCACCTCTTCCATACGCGGCCTACGAGCTTGGTTGTGGTCCCAACATCTACCGGTATCATCAAAAAGGAAAAAGAGAAGTCAAACTCCTAGAACAAAATGCAGAATAATAATGTAAATACTGTACAGGACATAATGTAATATGTATCTGTTAAAATATGTCTTGATACAGAAACAACATGTATATTACTATAGATACAGTACTGCAAATGGAAACTCATTTAACAAAATACAGTGAGGTCCCACTTAGTAAGAACAAGATGCATTCCTGAATAAGTGATTGTTAGGTCATTTTTCATTCACAGAACCCATTTTCCCATAGGAACACCCAAAACACTGAGAATTTTGAATCAGTGAAGTTCAGTGTAAAGTACAGTACTAAGAAATGTGTAAATAATGTCAACTGTGAAGTATTCTATACAAATACAATAAAACAGAAACTCAGATGCAGGAAAAGCCAACTATGCAACCACAGCAGCAGGGATGTTTTACCAGAGGAGAGAATAGTGCATGTTTCAACACTCAAGAGATGGTAGTTGAATAAGGCAGTGGGTATCAAACATTTTTCTACCACTGAGGACTAATGTCAAGTTGGTCCTCAGGTAGAATAAAAAAATAAGTCAAAATAAGTCAAATAAGACACCCAAAAGGTTAAGTGGAGAGACTGTATCAAACACATACCGTTTCATTAAATTTTCTAGTAACTTTGGACAGCCGGTTACAAGTGGCGGTCGCTGTTTCTGGTGCACCGCCCACATGATGCGAACGGCCAATCCAAGATCTTCAAACGGTACACGACGGGTCATCACCTCCCAGAGGATGATTCCCCAACTATATACATCACATTTTTCTGTGTACAATTTACCTGTAAACAGAAGAAAACAAAAATTATAATATCTGTTCTCTCAACCTCACCTCCACCACTATCTGTTCCCTCAACCTCACCTCCACCACTATCTGTTCTCTCAACCTCACCTCCACCACTATCTGTTCTCTCAACCTCACCTCCACCACTATCTGTTCTCTCAACCTCACCTCCACCACTATCTGTTCTCTCAACCTCACCTCCACCACTATCTGTTCTCTCAACCTCACCTCCACCACTATCTAAGAAATTAAAGATCTTTACATTACTCAGCTAAACCAAAGGGCTGCTACTTAAACTAGAATACAGAATAAAAATACATATATAACAAGGGTATCAACCACATGTAAGGCATACTACATATGTACGCTCAGGAGTTGAGTACAGGTAACTATTCCTGGATAATCTATATTTATTGTCTTAGAACTTTCCTGTCACTTTCTACACTTTCCTTACATAACTCTCACTATTAATTCCTCCCTTCCTTGAGGTGAATGTACCCAACCCTTGAACCAACCTTAACTAAAGTGAAAGAGTAGTAAAAATAACAAACAGACAGACAGACAATAACTTTTCAATACCCTATACTGTATATATTCCCTGACATACAGAAGGAATATGCTTAAAAAACGTAAAAATAAAAATATATATCGAACTTTCTGCAGAAAATTACATAATAAACCATCAGTAGCGACAAGTGCTAACCTTCAAACACTTCTGGCGCCATCCAGGCAGCAGATCCTCGGTTGTCGGACATTATGGTGCTTAGTTCACACGCTGTCCCAAAATCACATACTTTGAGAATTTTGGCCTCTTTGGTCAGGAGCAAATTAGGGGGTTTGAGGTCCCTGAGAAAACAATTACATATTTTGGATCACCTGAATATTAGACACACCACTTTATTTCACCTGAAGATTAATCTCCCTAATACTATCTGAGGAGCAGGGCGAGGTAGGGCAGGGTAAAGTAGAGTAAGGTAGGGTTGGGCAGGGCGAGGTGAGGTGGGGTAGGGTAAGGTAGGGTAGGGTAGGGTAGGGTAGGGTAGGGTAAGGTAAGGTAAGGTAAGGTAAGGTAAGGTAAGGTAAGGTAGGGTAGGGTGAGGTAGGGTAGGGTAAGGTGAGGTGAGGTAGAGTAGGGTAGGATGGTTAATCTCCAGGTGGAATAAACTGTGGTGTGTAATCTTCACATAATCCAACATTACAAATAAGTCCCAGAACTAACATAAGATAGTTACAGTGTTAAACAATTCTCCTGTAACAGATAATTAATAAATGCCCAACTGAGAAACACACAAACAGGCTACACGTGAGGGAGACAATGTTGTATTTAGGCAGGTTGTAAAACAAGTATTATGGATGGAAAGACAAACAAACAATAAGAATACTGTATATAAATGGGATGGAAGAATGGCATCTGAGATTCACATTTCCCAGAGACTTCCATTACAAAAACTGAGATGCTACAAAATGTGTTTCAGTGGAATTTTTTGATGTGCACAATGATTAAAATACACTTATATATACCTATGACAAGTGAAAAACATACAACAATAATAATTTCATACGTATAATGCACTTAAAGAGAAACCGGACGAGTATGAAACACTAGGCTAACATCTAAGAAATTTATATTACACCAGTACAGTAATACATTGACTCCCATTATTGGTGATACAGTACAGTACATTCTCTATGATAAATGAATCCCGTGCTCAACCCCTCATGAGTTACTGCGTCATCCTAAGTTCCTGCTTTGTTTACGTAGCATGAACACTGCGGTCACAGACACCCTGGGCTAACGACACTGGTTCAAGTAACTGGCCAGGTGTACTCTGTTCTCTTTGTTTAATAGTGATTTTATTTTGCTTTCACAATGCCCTCACACAAACACCAAAGTGATAGAACTGAGTTTCACCGTGGTAGAAAACGTAAAGTGCTGTGTAAATAAAAAGTGGACCTTCTACAAAAACTGTACCAAGGACAGTCTCTGAGGAACTGAAAATGCCTCGCCACCGTGATTTCAAAGTGAGCTGACTTCAAAAGTGGTGCTTTAAAGCCACTGGGGAAAAAGTCAGCACCAAAACAAGTGCAAAATGTTTATAACCAGCCACTGACCAGTCCTACACACACACTTACAAATCTTAACCTTTATTGTACATAATTAACATGAAATTTAATAAACCCAATATTTTTTTTAACCCTCTCACAGGCCAATAACTTGTTGAAACAGAAAATTTAATTTGCCATTCAACACTTTCTCCTGTGATGAAGTATTCATTCATATAAAACTTTGTAAACAAAATAAACTAAAAGCCTACAACAGACACAGTTATGATTCAACAAAGAAAAGTTTAAGTACGGTACACCCAGAGAGAGAGAGACAACAGGCCGACACTCTAACATGTCCACCGTAGTCGAAACTGACAAACAAAATAAAAGTTTTTGTCACAATTATACTACTGTACTTCCATATAAAGACAGACAGACACCAGGTTCAAGGTTGTTTATAATTGCAATTATTTTATAACCACTATTCCAGGATATTAAATTAGCATTAGCTGTTCCGAGTCAACGAAAAAGTTATTTTAAAAAATTAGCAGATTCGTCAAATATGTAAATAATTGGACAAGTGATAGTGTGTGGCTCACTCTGTCTTAATGGCTGGGGAAGAGAGGGAACCAGACTGGGTAAAAAAGTCATCAAAGTTATACGTATGCTTTCATTAAGGTGCTTTACCATCCATGGAAAATATATCAGCAGTAGCTACTAACCATACTGCATCTGACAGCTTGAATTAATTAAGATAATTAAAGATAACAGGAGAAAATGGCAACATAATTATCTGTTGTGTACAGAAGTAACAAGGTAAGACAAAGGTTGTCCACTCACCTGTGTAATAAAGGTCTCGGCTGTATGGCGTGGAGGTAGGACACGGCTCTGGCACATTGTAATAACCAGGATATTCCATGTGCCAGGTTATACTCTGTGTTGGGTGAATTGTGCAACACTGTAAACAAAGTAACAGTTTAGGACACTTATGATCCCCATCCTTATATGTAAGTCACGTGTCCAGATCAAACCTAACCTAGCTAACCTAACCTACCCTAAATAACCTAACCTAACCTAGCTAACCTAACCTACCCTAAATAACCTAACCTAACCAACCCCAACTAACATAACCTAACTTAATCAAACAAACCTTAAATTGCACTAACTTTACCTCACCAATCCTACCAAGACCTCAAAAGAAACTACATTATACCAGAGGGGGTGTGACTGGAGAGGGTGATTGAATGAATGCTCCCATCACTCAGTTGGCAGCTCACCACCCACCATGTGGCGGCCAGTCTCTTATCCACCAAGTAAACAGAATAGGTTGGCCACTCAGAGCTAGATATAAAACAGATTAATACAGTAAGCTAAGTACCGTACGCACCCCAACACGAGAGAAAAAACAAATCTGCTGAGGCCTAGTGCGGGTATCAGAGCATCTTAGAACACTCGTGTCATATCAGAGCAATTTCACCCGACCGGCCTTTTCTACTGTTGTGGAGATTAAATGACTTACCAGGTACGACATTCTGATGTGATATTTGGTGTAAGAGGACATAGCAGGTAAGTCCCTCTGACTAAAAGGGTGGAACACTTACATCACTATGCAGTTCCAGGATACTAATTTATTTATTGTGTTGCAGAGAACAGAAAAAATAAGCACATATACCAAATATTCTAATATATACAGTAAATATCTATACTATTGTCTGTCTATATTCTATACACTATACTCTCTTCTATATCTGTATTCAGTACTGTACTACATTACACCTTCTATCTTTTACTAAACACCGAGGTGGAATTTCCAGATCTCTTCCAACCATTTGTGGACTTAACAAAATATTGAACACTCCTTCAATCCATTTCCCTCCATAGTGGATACTGTTCTCTCCCATCCTTGTGTGGAGTGAGTCAAGGGATACAGGAATTTTAATAATGGGAGGAAAATAACAGAGGAGGCCAGAGTAAAACATGTGTAGTTAGTAACAAGAAACATCTTCAAGAAGTAAGGCTACACACACTTCTTCCCATACATACATATACATAAACAGTGGGCATCTTTGGCCTTTAAACTGATTCACAACACCTCCTAATGATTCACTTTGTATATGTTGAGTCATAATAAGAAAAAAACATTAAAGTAATTAATCTCATTTAATGGCTGAGGGAAAAGACAACTGAGGTGCAGGCTGCCCCAACTGACACAAGCGTGGAAAACAGCCTAGAACAGCGGTGCCGATGATGAGTAGTATGAGCCTTATTTCATGAATGTTCAAAAAGAAGTGAATAGGTGATGCTTGGTTGTGTCAGATGGATAAACCTGAGAGATATCTGAGCCCTTGTTGTGAGAGATAAACACCATATAACAGAAGAATACATCTGTTACAACACTAAGAGTTAATGAATACACTGTACTGTGAATATAAAGAGAGTGTGTGTTTGCTTTAGAATCTGGCCTACCTGCACCATAAAGAGAAAAGTCTTGAAATGGCAAAAATAAATACATTACATACAAACAGTTCACAAACTCACAGTGATACAGTGATCCCCCATCTGCAAATTCAATGACGAGACACTTGTGAATATCAGACACGCAGGCACCGTAGAGGTAGATGATGTTCTCGTGCTGTACCCGAGCCAGCTGTTGCACCTCATTGTAAAAAGCGTTAACCTGACAACAAGGAAAGAGAATAAATGTGTTAGTTGTGCACAATAATGTCACAAACAGTTTCAAGGTACATTTGGTAAAAAAAAACTACCGTTACAATTCCTGCGTGAAACAAACTGACACCACAAAAAAGGTGTTTCAAAAAGGCCCCTGAGGCATTCCTCGCACTGGTAGCCCTGCGTGTGTATGGGTTCAGCCACATGTGCTCGAAACAAGTGATCGGTACTCTGAAACGAAACCCAGTACAGTACTAGACTTTCCGGAAATATTCGACCATATGGTAAAACGTCGTTGGGCCGGGTTCCATTATGACTGCATGCGAACTGTGGAGCCATTCAGATGTTTCGGAACAGCTTGGTATATTTTCCAGTACGAATAAAGAATGACATAATGTGTCATTAGCCCAAAGTGAAGTAGTAATACAAATACTGATTCGAAATTCGGGTCCAAAATAATCTTATACCTTTACTATATCCACTAATTCTGCCAAACATATAATGTACAGTATTCCTATGTGGTTACTCATCCACTTCCATGGTTACTGTAGTCTACGGTGTGTGGAACATTTAATATAACATACAGTTTAACTTATCTAGATATACTGACATTCTCCAGTCATATTGTAATAAAGTACCAAATTAAGTATAAAATGTCTCACAGTCAGGCCTACCAACCCTCGCGAGACAACGGTAAAGTTCAGTTGGAAAATCATTGGACCCCACCTGTACTGTAGTTTTTACCGAGTGTACAGTATAATGATGGTAAGGTAGGGTAAGGTATGGTAGGTCATGGTAGTGTAAGGTATATCAGGGTAATATTAGGGTAGGATAGATCATGGTTAGGTAGGATGGTGAAGGTGATGTTCACTATCATGGTCACAGGATGGTGGGGAAGGTTGTGTCATGGTCAAAGTGGAATCAATATTACATGGATGTACTGTAAATATTTCTTTCATATACAGTACAGTATAGTGTTAACAGACTTTATTTTGGAATGTTAATGCCAATATTAGCTGCCGTTACAATGTACATTATTAGATGCACTTATACAATACCTATATACAGGTATTCTAATACAGTACCAACTTTATGATAAGGTCATTATTGGGGAATCACTGAACTGTACCTTGTAAAGTACTGTACTTTAAACCTACATCTTTCTTACACATATATTCCTGCAAAAGGTTTTTGTTTCTGAATTTGTATCATAATCCAAGAAATGGGAGGATATCTTAAGTTCAGTAGCAGCGATAAAATAAAACAGAGTTCAATTAAAAACTTTGACTTAAAAAAATTAAGAGTTAAGGAAAGTCTTCTGTTCATGACCACTGTTTATGGCAGTCTCCTTATATAACATCATAAACATTCTTGACCTTTTTCTTCATAAACAACAACAAGTAATGCAGCAAGAGACTTACCTCAGACTCTGTCTCCACTTTCTTCACTGCTACAGTCAGGCCTCTCCACAATGCCTTGTAAACAACCCCAAATGATCCTTTTCCTATACTCTGCAAATAACAAAATATATCAACAAAATATACACATAGTAATTCCTGTGTCATGAAGTGGATGCCTTTCCGTGTACTGTATTGAGAAAATACAGTAATATGGTTCTGAGTTACCAATTGACCTTCGAACAGGGTCCAGGATTATAGTAACCCCTTCGTAACTCAGGGGGCCCCATGTACAGTACATGCTTATGAGTGACATATAAATACTTGTAATGTATTGAGGATGTTGATCAAGTGTGTCAAAATGGCAACAAAATTGTCACCGCCCTTCTTTGGTAACTAATACACTACCTCTTCCTTTACCTTGTGCGTACAGTTAACAAAACATTATCGTGCCCCGGGGGTCTGTTGGAATTTGGATTGAGCAAATGCCTCAGCCACTCATGGTATGTGTTAGGTCAGCATACCCGGGTTTTCTAAACATTTCATCTTGTGTTCCAGATGAAAAGTACGGAAAGCAGTGAAATATATATATTTTTTGTTAACTGTACATTACAGTATTTATGGCTCTTCGGATAAGAATATACCTTGTTAATCACTCGAGTCATCTTAACACTTAGTTTTCCTCAATTTTCTGTTTTACAATACTAATAAAATTTACTTCTTTCATTTAACCTAACCTAATCTTAAGTATTACTTGTCTTGAATTTCATCCTTAAAAAAGATACAAATTATCTCCATGAAAATAACTGTTCGAACAGAAACAAACTTGCCGGACATAAGTTAGCTACATTACACAAATATATTCCTCGAGCACATTTTGTCACTTTCTTGGGGGAAGAAAGTTTTTATCTTCTATGGAGAGAATTCCTCAAGATGGTGCTAAGAGTGTGTCATGGTTGTTAAGTATTACTGTACAATGTTGGTATAATTGTAGTGTGCCTATATATTGTATGCCTACATTATACACCTGCAGTCTATGTGCCTATGTACCTATACTATCTACGTACATTGTATACCGGTATTGTCTAATTACATTATACACCTGCAATCAATGTAAACTTGTATGAGGTGTTTGCCAGAGAAGAAGTACAGGAAAGATATACAATGATTAATGTTCTCTTCTATTCTATCATCTGAATGTGTATGTAGGTATTTACCATCATCTGTATGTATGTATCGTCTGTATGTATGTAAGTACTTTATTTTCATTATTTGTCCAGTTTCCTAAAGCATCTTAGTACATAGGCAGACCACAATAACAGTGAACAGTACTAATGACAACAGGTTAAGGCAATAGCAACACAACCACTAGATAAAGACACACAAAAACTATCATATAATCATCAATTCTACCGTATTAATGTTTTTTTTTGTATCTTTATTCTACTTCTGGTTCTTCTCTTCCTGCCACAGTAATACAGCAGCACACACAGACACACATACATACACAGCAGCCACAGTCTCACCTCCAGAAAGTGTACTTCATCAGCTTCTATTTCCTGGTAGTTCTCGACCTGGTTGTCCATGGCAGTGATGATCATCCTCTCAAGTCATCTCTCAGTCTTGGCCACAATTTTTTGACATAAACAACTGTGATCTCTGCAAACCTTCCTCCCCCATAGACACCGGAACCATATGACTGCCAGCTGATTATAAGAAGATCCAATGACACCCTTATGCCACTCCAATACTCCTTTTATCCCATCTAGTAGGACAAACTTGCCAAAAGAACACCATCGAGTGTCTCCTTTAGGTTGTAGTTATTTATAAGATCGGACTCCATAGACTATCTAATGCTACTTAAGTACTTTTCAATACTATACTAACTTGCTGAATAGAGAGTATTGGACACCATCTTCAACATCATTGGGGTCCAGGTTATAGTTATTTTTAAGATTAACCTTCAGAGATGAATCAGTAGTAGTGATGTATAGTATATACACTTGACTACCACAGAAACATTTATAATAAAACCATTGGATACCTTCTTCAAGTTATTAACCATACAAAGAAGACTTAATATTACTTACATAAGTTACATAACACCCAATTACCAAGGAATACAGTACCCTGCTTAAACTCTGTCTATGAGTTTTGGTTACATCCTTCACATTAATTTCTTATATTTAGTCCTGCTTTGATGTGTGTAAAATTAGTCATTACAAATAGACTAACATTCTACTTCCATTTCGTATTTTTATTTTACAAATATAGTTAAAAATTATGCATGTTATTTGGTTAATAAAATGTGCATGTGTCTAATAAAAACACATCACTTGTGAAATAGGAGTGGAACCTAACAAAAATCTTAACCTATCTTAATCCATTCTAACTTAACCTAACCTAACCTAATCAAATCTAACTTAATTTATTGTGACCATAATTCACCTAACCAAACCGAATCTAATCTAATCTAACGTAACCTTACCAAACCTAACCTAACCTAACCTTACCCACCTAACCTAACATCAGTCTAACCTAGCCAAACCAATATACTAATGTCCCTAATAATCTTGAAATCCATCGATTCGTAAAAAAATTTTGCTAATAATCTGTAACGTAAACTTTTTTATTAAAATTTATATAGCTAAGGTTAATTTCTTTAACATAAGTCTGTCCTGATAATTTTTCTATGCATAGTTAATAATAATAATAATAATAATAATAATAATAATAATAATAATAATAATAATAATAATAATAATAATAATAATAATATTAATAATAATAATAATGATAATATTAATACCTTGTAATATTATTATTATTATTATTATTATTATTATTATTATTATGGCTAATATATGACTCGTGACTGTCAGCGGTTCAGTAATTATGGTGTGTGTGATTTTAGGCACAGATTTGTACTCGAATTACTTTCACTTCTGTTCATTTTCTTGTGCAAATGTTTAATTTTGTAGATACAGGCGAGTTAATATAGTTATCTTACAGTCACTTCATCAGCTGTGACGTGGCAAATGTTAACAATGAATCAGCGATCAAACAAAATAAAATCATGACATAATTACATGTAATATATTATAGTACATGTAATATATTATATTACATGTACTTCTTAACATAAACACAAAAATATTAACTGGAAACACTTTGATGAGGATGTGAGTTGTTCGGTATATGTAAAACCACTTAATCTGAAAAAAAAAATTGTTATATGTTCATTTAAAATAATCCAGTTTATTTAAAATGTGAATACAAAAAAAAAATCATGGTGAAGATATAAGTTGGTGCAAATGATGATGAATCGTGTCACCTTAATACAATAAAAGAACAAGTAACCATAGTTTTCCATAACTCATCAATAAAGCACAGAAAATGAAGTCAGCTTTAGTTTTATGTTACATCTTACCTTCTAAATTTATAGCATTGACTTGACTGTGCAGATGACAAATATTTTTTTTTTTTTAGAGAGAAATGGTGACTGCATACATAGTGGCTTCTATTTAGATCTTTAACTGTTTTCCCCTTCAAAGGTGTGTCTTTTTCTTCTATTAACCTCTGCCATCTACTACATCTGAAGAAATGTATCCAGAATTACTTACAGTTACTAAAATTATAATAAGGATAATACCTGCCCCTAGCATCTTCCATGGAAATTGTTTAACTTTCAACATATTATATACATCGATAATAATAAGGACTAATACAATCTTACTCTTAGTCTATATTTTAAAAATAGTTACAATACAGTACTTATTTTTCTTTATCTTTGGGGAATCGATGAAATACGAAATAGGGATGTATATCCTTTCTCCGTTTGCAGATTATGTACGGGTGTCCTTTACTTGTCATTTAATAAGACCATTCATTAGCAGTCATGACGTGCTAAGTGTGTTCCCGTAGTTTTTTTGGGGGGGGATACTGTGTCCGAATTTTGAGGTCAAGATAACTTTATGTTGAAATTATTTACAGATCACGGTATCCTTACCTACCACTAGAGTTTGTGCTGACTATCGAGAACTCTGTATAGTAAGAGGGTGATCACTTACGAGCAGTACTTTGCAAGATACTTCTGCCGCTCACCTGGACCATAAAACAATTTGAATTATTCTACACCACTTCCTCAAGGCTGTTGCACGCCGCTTCCCGCCATCGCAGTAACTGTAAGTACAGTAATTATAGTAACATACTAGTCCTAGGCTCCTAGCTCCTTGGTTAGGTTAAGTTACGTTACGTGTGGTTAGGTTAGCACAAGATATCAGCCATTTTCTGTAGATCGGATCTTTTTCAGTATTGGCTGATTGCTCTTAAGAAAGGTGTAGAAGTCACTGCAAGATGTTTCTCGGAAGTTGTACTGTACAGCCAGAATGCCTTTCATTGTTTCAACACTAAATTTGTTCCTTTCCTTTGTCCATTGACTTTGCATCAGTGAAAAAACTCTTTTTACATTTGCATTGTGAGATGATATAGCAAAGAAGAATTGTGCAATTCTTAACAATTCTGAGTGGCATTCAATGTTCTTTGATTTTTCAAAGTATCTGGTCCACTTTTTATGTGTTGGCAGATTACTAAATTCTTCATCACTCTTGTAATTTTCCACAAACTGCTTCAGGTTACTAACTTGGTCAAAACACTTCATCAACTTCTACCCCCTTATCAATCAAATATTTGACAGCTAAGTTGACAACACCTACAGGAGTACAAGTGACTTATTAGCTGACGAAAACTGAACGAGATCTCTACGGTTTCCACCTTCCCTCTCTCTCTCTCTCGTCATTACAGTTTCATGTTTTTTTCCGTGGAGAAAATGATGGAAGCTGAAATTCCGGACTTTTGAAGAATTTTAAAAATTCCTTCCGGATGAAGATTTCGAGACCTAAATGGAGGACATGTCCGGGAAAATACGGACGTATGGCAACCCTATACTACCGTATCCCCAAGTAAAATAAGTGAAAACGAGTCAATAAAAAACAGCGGATAGTTACGTTCCGAATAACTATTATTAATTATTATTATTATTATTATTAGGTAAATTTTTACTCTAGGATATGGGTGTATTTTGTTGTGTTTTAAACGAATCTGACCTTATTTTTGGGCGGAAATTGGTAGTTTTTGCCCGCCAAACACTAATGGGGGAGAGCCTGCGAAATCGGGGTATTTGGGTGGGGGAGAAAACGAGTCATCTGACCTAACAAAACCTAACTTAACTTCTAGCCGGGGGCAGATCCCCTGTAGGCCTAGCTTAAAGTAACCTAAATGTTTCAGTAGTTAAAATCATTGGGGCGCGCCATGTCCGAAAGTAAAATAATACCTTATTATTATTAGCCATTTAATTAAAGTGATACTCGGTTGGTCTCTACATTACTCCGGTAACACCTTGAAGCCCATTCCGCGTCGTTTAAGTCCCTCATTTAAACTCATTCATGAAACTGTTTATTTATGTCCATTTTCTCTATTGCAGTTAAAGAAAATTTAAATTTTAAATGGGAGAACTTCTTTATTTTCTTATTAAGGTTTTAAGATATGTCAATTATCTTACTTTTGTGTACTTTATTTTATTTTAGGTTAATATTGACGACATACTTGTCTCAGCGTACTTTCTTACTATATTTTCATCGCTAAGCTTAGATATGATATTCATTTCTTAGTTAGGTTAGGCTTGGGGATTGCTGGCTACTTCGCCTTTAGGCTATTTCGGCCGTATTCATCTCTTAGTCAAATACTTCGTTTGGTAGATATTTCTCAAAATACTTAATATCTATTTCACCTTTAAATTATTGACATGATTTTAACAGTCTCAAAAAAAAACATTACGTTCTTTATGACAACACTCATCTCTCGGCCATCTACAGTAGTTAGACGGGGGACTTAGTTATTTGTTGCCCTCTTATTTTGTTGAGAAAAAAGCCTTCTCTTTCCTCCTCACTCTTCTTGAGGCACGTGCACAGGTAGGGCTCAAGGGGGCTTCAGCCCCTGCCCCTTTGCCCTGCCAGTTCCAAATTGCCCTCCTCGATTTTTTTAATCAAGAACAAGAGGGTAGGGTATCTAGGGTATCCACTAGCCATGAAAAAAGAGGCAGATCAGCCCATTTAGGACTCAAAGAACTTAGGGAGGAAAAAATCCTCTTATATTATTCTAAAAACAAGTATAAACACCGTGCTATAATATTATATGTGGTGCGTCTAACACTGAAAGATTTAATTTATCTCGGCCATAATTGAGCTGTTAAATAGCATTCAGTGACCCTGTTTCTTTAGTTTATGTTGTAAATAAATTGTCTAATAATGTCATCGTATGGCATATGATTCATCAACACATGAAGATGAAGTACATATTGACAACCAGTATTTCATAAAGAAGTAGTTTGTATGTTGCTTTTATTGCATATTAACTATATTTTCATTACAAAAATATAAAATATACCCAAATTCAAGGGACATTCATAGCAAACTGCACATGACTTCAAAATGGTCCTCA